AGAGGAAATATTTTAAGATTTAGTTATGGTGGCATATATATATATCTGAAATAAAAATGTGGAACATTTTTCAATTATATAAAATAATATAGAGTACATAAGGGAAGTAATGAAACAGAAAAATCACTTTAAAAATCTGTATCTTTAATATGTCAAGTATCAAGGAACAATACCAGTATTTTATTGATGACAACTACTTAAATACTATTTACAATTTTGGGGGCACATATATATCTACATTTGTACATAAAAGTATTTTAAAAAAGAAAAAAACAACATGTAGAATTCAAAAAATGTATAAAACCATAACAGAATACCAAACATACCGGGGATGTTATTGTATTACCTCTAAGTTCTTATTTGCAAAAAATAATGAGGACAATTTTAGCTACTATTTTGTAAAATATTCTAATCAATTTATTCAAGTATAGTAACACTAAGCTGCTACCAGTGAATTAGGGACTTAAAAAGGTAACAAGTAAGTTAGAAGCTGAAACTATAACCTTGTCTGTTGAAATGTTCTATTTACTTACATATACAAGGAGAAAAAAAAGTTTCATTCTTCTGCTTGCTGAAGGTATTTTTTAAAATAGTTTTCTTTCAAAGATCTTAAATACCTTTCTGAAAGGATACTGACAAAGCAAATTTTTAGAAGCAAATTTGATCAATTTTATTTTTCCTGACATTGAAGTGACTCATCTTAGATTTCCTTGTGAAATGTTTCTTCCAAATTTTCTAACGATCCTTGGATTTACTTTATGGATGTTTCTTTTATATTCTAGAGAAGACATAAAAAGATATATAAATATGTTAAAAAGTATCATTTGCAAGTAGCTTTCACTATTCAACTTAAAAATTCATTAAAAATTGTAACTATATGTAGGAACATCTACTCTTTAAATTCACAGTTGTTAATTAACATGACTTAAAGTTATGTTCTTAGAACTGTCTCTACAAATCACATTGAACCTATTAAAACTGACTGCATAAAATCTGTTTAAAAAAAGAACAAAATGGATTTGTTTGCTAAATTTATTTCTCTATGTTGCAAGCTGAAGTTTTAGTTAATAACTGCACACAACCAGGTATCAAAAGTCATTGAATAAACTACTAGATTCACTTTTCTTTTTTGTATTGACTTTCTATAAGCATATTCTTCCCTTTTATAATTTTTTTCATTAATTACCGCATCAAGACTTCTAAATGTCCATATTCTGATAAAAAGGTTATCAGCACTTCCCAGAAGGCTGATCCTGGTCCCAGTCCTTTTTGCTTTTACTGTCACCTTTCAGGTTTTTCTTTTGTACAATATTTATTTGAAAGGTAGAGTGACAAAAAGACTCTTAACCAAGCTCTTTCTGGTATCTTCTATGAGTTGATTCACTCCCCACATGAGTGCAACAGCCAGGGCTAAACTACGCAGAAAGTAGCAGCCAGGAACTCCATCCGTCTCTCCTTCATGGGTAGCAGAAGCCCAATTATTTGGACCATCACCTGTGGTCTTCCCAGGTTCACTAGCAGGAAACTGAATTGGAAACGGAGCAGCTGGAATCCAGACCAGCACTTATGACACAGGATGTCAGTATCACAAGCAGTGGCTTAACCTGCAAGGCACAATGCTAAGCTCCTTTCAAATGTTTCTGTCTGTTCCTATCCTTTTGGATTTTTCATTAGTCTTTACAACAATGCTCTATTCAACAGTAATGTCAAAAACAGTGCCACTTTCTTTTGAGGCAGTCTACTTGGCTATCAGGTTATCACTTCCTTGGTCACATTGGGCTCTACTCTTAGAGTAGGAAAATACATAGTTACTTCCTTCCTTTGCCCATTCCTTCCTTTGCTCTTCCTCTCCTCCTTCTTTTCTTTCTTTTAAGCTTGCAATACACAGGGTTAGGAGGACAAAGCTAGCAGCCAGGAACTCAATCTGTTTTCCATCCAGGGTGACAGAAATACAAATAGTCAAAAACGATATTGCTGCCTCCCTAGGTCACTGCTACCAGGAAGCCAGTCTTCAGATGCAGCTAGGGAATGACCCAGGCACTCAAAAGCGAGACTGTCTTAATTGTTAGGCTAAATGCCCAACCCCTCTTCTCTAACTGTTCAGTTAACAGTAGTTACCAACTTTTTCACTGATACTCTTGCTTTTTCATTGGTACAATGTTAATTGAACAACTCAAGTGAACACATTCAACCTTCACTATTCCAGTAATTCCTGGTGTGTACAGTATTTACAATTGGACATTCTAATACGCATAAAAAGCTATTTTCCCCTACAATTTAGTAACTTTTCCACGAGTTCAACTATTCTATGCAGATGAGGGAATGTAGTCACCCCCAGTAGTACCCTTTTCATTTTGTTAATAGAAGTTATGATTGTCACTGGGTAGAAACTGTAGCCTTGTAGTACTTACTAAAAGTAATAGGCTAAGAGAAAAAAATTCAGGCAGAAACAATTTGTCTGTAACTTATACTGAGACACAACCTTAATAATAATAATATATTTGGGTAATTATTATAAATACTACCTAGATTACTTAACAGAAAGGATATAGAAGGTAGAATTGAGATATTGAGTTATACCACTACTACCACAATTAATATCTGGTTTTGAAAAGTGTTTTATATTCTGTGTCTTAAATTTGCCTTACTTGTAACAAGGTTATCCCATTTGTTTCTACCTTCCAATAAAGATGACATGATAGAGATTCCTATGAAAAATAGTTTTTCAAACGAGCTCAGCACTACATGAATTGGAAGATAATAATACCATTAAAGATTAAATGACCAAATAAACATACCCATTGTTGGTCTGTTTTCTTGTAAATGTTTATCGCTTGAATTATCTGGTCGAACACGTTTTGCAAATCCATGATTTTCCTCAGTGGCTGATGTGATGCTTGATGTACAAATGGAGAAAAAAAATGGTTTATTTGTTTTAAATCTCTACATTGTAATTTCTGTTGAACTTATATGCAGTAATGACAGAAGAAAGCAAACACAGAAATGTGAAGTTGTGAAACCTTACAAAAGTAAGCGGAGGCACTAAACACATTTTTGATCTACAGTGAAATTTTTTATGTTGTGATTTTAATATTTATTCAAACTGGATATTATAATTGTAAGTAACAGTTCTATAGCAGAATATTTCTAGGGCATTTTGCCGGAATATGACAGCAGTTCTATTCCAAGGGTAGAAACAAGTAGCAAGATAGGGGTTTGGGCCTTGGGGTTGGGGGCAACTGCAGCTCCCTGCAGTGTGGCGGCTGTGGGGGGTGCCCCTGCTGGGTCAGACCCAATGCTGGGGACTCAGGCCAAAGACACTGCCCCAAGGCAGTGAACGAGTCCTCAGCCTTGGGCAGCCAGTGCACCAAGTGGTGCCAGGCTTTGCCTGCTGGCCACCCGGTGGCGAACTCTGGGGTTTTTAAGATATGTAGTTGCTGCCTGGGGACACCCATGAATAAGGCCAGTTTTAGTGTAGGTGAGAGGTGAATTTTGGATGATTTGCAGTGACAGGGTCATGAAAGTTTCAGGCATGCATGGGGACTGAGACCAGATGGTTTGGAGGGAAGTATCCATAAGATAATTTGGGTTAGACTGATTCACCAGCCCAATTAGGAATCCAGAGATGGGCTGTTAGCATAGAACATCACTGACGGCCACACACCAGTCCACACCAAAGCTATGGATGGGGGCCTGTTTGGCAGGGCTAGGTACCATTGCCCAACTGGGTGGTGGAGTGGTCACATTTGGCAGGGTCAAGACACTATCCAGCACACAAGAGAACTTGGTCTGGGGGTAGACTCTGTGGGGTTGTGTGGGCCCAACCCTGTGGAAATACAAGTCCCCCTGGTTAGCTCGCAAGCTGGGGTTGCGATGGACTAAGCTAGGTGTGACCATGGCACCTGCCATCACTCACGGGTAAAGGAACCCACAATAGTCTGGGCAGGTCAAGGCAGCAGCACCTGAATGTGCATCCTAAAACAGGATGTGGGGTGGACCAGGCTGCCACTGGAAGGGGGCAGAATGGGCAGGGCCAAGCAAACCTTAACTCACAAGAAAAAACAGAAATCAGGTTGGAACACAGCTCATGCCAAGCAGGCCCTTGCACCTACTGATCTATGTGAGCCAGGGACGCTAAGCCACTGCATCCAAGGCAAGGGCCAGGACAGGTGAGGGGCTCTGCCAAGTGGAGTCAGAGCAACCCACTGGCCTACACGTGATCTAAGGCTGGCAATAGACCCCGTTGGGGAGCTAAGGGGACACCCTAGCTGGGTTGAGTTTCCCACCAAGGAGTGCATGGGCTGGAATGGGGGCTGCATTCTGATCAGGATGTGGTTGTAATCTCCCCTGGCACAAGTGTGGACTGGGACTGGAAGCAGAAACCCGCCTAGACTCCAGCACCATCTTGTGCTCTGGTGGACCATGGTAGATGTGGACAGACTAGGCTAGGTCTCATCCGTTATGTTACCAAGTGTGAGCTGTATGAGGGTATGGACAAGCCGTGGCTGGGTTGAAACATCCAACAGTAAGAACCAGATTGGGTTGAAGGCCAGTCAGGAAAAGCCACTGTTCCTGCTAGGACAGGAGGTGAACTGAGTAGGGCTGGCTCATGGACCCACTGGTATGCGTGAAATCTGGCACTGGGAGAGGTTCTGATGGAGGAGCCTGGGCAACTTCTCTGGCAGGACACAGTCTCTGCAGGTAAGCACAAGAAGCACAATAGGAAACAGCCCAGAACAAGCTATGGAAATTCTTCAAAGACCCCATAGTGCTTGAAGTGGCAAGATTGGCAGCGATTCATAACTGGTGAACTATCAAACCACTTGAGCAATAACCTGGGAGAATACCCCACACCGGGTACCGGGTGAGGGTGGGAAACCTTCCCCCTTAATACCCCCCTTTAAACTTGAAGGAAACAATATGGAAATAATAGTCTTACCCACTTTCCTATTGCCCTTGAACCTTTTTACCCCAGTTAACTATGTAAAGATGATTAAAAATACAATAATAAAAAAATATATTAAAAAAAATTATCCCACTGGCATACACTTGGCATCAGTTGGGGGCAGACGAGGCTGAACCCGTTCATATCACCCACTGGTGAATCCGAGCACCAGAACAGAGTATGGGTCGGGCCAGGTTCGGTTGTGACAAATACCAGTACACATTAAGGAATGCCAAGGTGAGATGAGCCTTACCAGATGTGGTTGCAGCACCCAAACAGCACATGTGAAAACTGGGGGGAGGAGGCAAAGCCGACAGGGGAATGTGGGCTCCCCTGCTGGACAACTACTTCCATTGGAAAGCGTGAGTCAGGATGGGGGCAGACCAGACTAGGCAGGGCTATAACACCTGTGGGCCTCATGTGAGCTAGATAAGGGAAGGGCCAGGGTGGGCTGACTGTCCTGACTGGTGCAAGCAAAAATTAGAGTGGGTGAGGGTTGGTTGGGCTTAGCCGCAGCATCAGCTGGCAGAGGCTGGCACTGGGAGCTAATTCTGTCAAGTCAAATGCCAGAACCACCTGGAGAGTACATAATCTGGGGGTGGGAGTGGCCTAGTAGGGAGATAGTGGGCACCTCCCTCATGGGTAACCACTCTCACTGGACAGCACGAAAACCAGGACAGGGGCAGGCATGGCTAGACAGAAAGGCACCTGCCAGTAAGTGTGTGGACTGGATAGTAGGTTGGTTGGGTTGCACTAGGCTTCAATGCCCACTGACATGTATGAGAGCTAAATGGGATGTGGGACAGACTGGACAAGCCTGCAGTACATACTGGCAAGCATGGGAACCAGGGTAGGGGGCAGGCTTGGTGGGGATTACAGGGAGTCGCCCCGACTAGGCTGCAGCTCCCACTGGTTTGCGTGAGGAAAGTGGGTAGGATCAAGCTGGACTACAACACCCGTTAATTCAAGTGGAAGACAGGGCTGGAAACAGAACTGACCCAGCAATAGCAACCACCAGCATGTGCGTAAGCTGATTGGCGCAATGGATGGTGTTGGACCCTGTACTAGCAAACTCACACAAGAATCAGGTCTAGGATCATCTCAGATGAAGTTTCTTTGGAGATCCCTTCAACTGAACTGCTGATCTCAGAACCCCAACCATGAAGAGACTATGTCAGCCAGTGGACTCTGAATAGGTTTCATTGCAATTGGAACTGCGAGATTGGCAGCAATCCAGAACTGTTGAACTATCAAAACTGCTTGAGCAGGACCCTCGGAGCGTGCCTCACATTGGGGATCTGGGATGGGTGGGAGGCTGGGTGGGGCTTTTCCCTTTGTTTCTCCCCTGACCCCAGGAAAAAATGATAATATTAGTGTGGAAACAATGGTATTACCCACTTTCACCCTGTAGCCCTTGACCCTTTGTACCCTAATCAACTAAGTAAGATTATTAAAAAATAATAATAAAAAAGAAACAAGCAGCAATAATCACAAGATGTGCAATATTAATTTCTTAAACAAATATGGACCAAGAATCCCAATGTAGGAATATAAACAATGAGATAATCTGGGAAAATTGTCTTTAAATCCAAAGATAGCAATACACTGACAACCCAATTATTACAATTACAAAAACTGAAATGAAAAAGAATTTGTCTTATGTTAAGCTATACAATTGATCTCACATTAAGGGGCAAATTTCTAGCTCAATTTGAGTTGACATAATACTGAATACCTATTATTAATGTTAAAATAATATACAAAGAAGTAAGGCACAAATAATCTCTGTCCTGACAACTTATACCACAAACATGCAGTGAGGACAGGGAAAGAATACACAAAGTAATCCAAGATAGCATAAAATAAAAAAAGTGCTAGGTTTGGCCCAATGGCTAAGCCGTCACTTTGCATGTGCCAGGATCCTGCGTGGGTGCCAGTATGTTTTTTGGCTGTTTTGCTTTCCATCCAGCTCCCTGCTTGTGGCCTGGGGAATTAGAAGAGGATGGTCCAAGGCCTTGGGTTCCTGCACCCAGGTGGGACACCTGGAAGAAGCCTCCTGCTTTGGGTGAGCTCAGCTCTGCCACTTAGGTCACTTGAGGTGAACTAGAGGACAGAGGTCTTTCTTTTTAAATATACCTTTCCAATAAAAATAAACAAATCTTTTAAAAATGTACCATAGGTTTTCAAATGCCAAGAAGCTATAGAGTTGGAGATTTGGTAAATTACATCAAGGCTTTGAATAACAATCTTTCCTAGTTCCAAAGAGGATCCAGATTTAATAGGCAAGATTGGGAAGGTGGGATGAATATCTTCCTTCCACTAAGCATCGTTTAGAGAATTTCTGGCCAATACACTATACACTATTACATGAACTGATGCTATAGTGATTGTTAAGTTGGTTTCACAATTAGAGGTTTTGCTTTAACAGCAACAAGTTTGCTTCTGACAATGCCAATCCTCATTTTGAACTGGTACACTGGTATGCGTGTGGAATACGGAGAAGATGAGTTAGAGGAATGTTCAATGTAAACACCTTCGAGCAAAAAGAATACAGTGAAAATAACCCAAATGAGATATTTCCATGGCCAAGAGCCCTTGAAAGAAATTATTACAGGGTTTAAAATGGTCATCGTAACTGTTCTGTTTATTAATGCATATCACCTATCCAGAATGGTTTATCAAGGAACTGCTAGTATTATACAAGTTGAGCAAATTATCATGCATCATGGAAAAAAATAGAAAAAGTTTAAACAAATCCAATCGTGGAAATTATCCATTTCCAAATAAATTATTAAAATTCTGTTTTCAATTAAAATTCTGTTTTAAACATCTTTTGGGTAATATACAGATTTATCAGTGAGTGATCCATGGCAGTAACTCTTTGCTAAAATAATCACTTGGTGATTTTATTTAAGTATAAAGAGCAATGCAGTCGGTTACAGTTTCCTGCACAATTTATCCAAAAATTGTCTTTATTTAAATTTGATTCTTTAGTTTAGTTAGTTCTAGATTTGTACTTTATATTTATAAAATTCTTTTACTTGATTAAAATTCATATTTCAAGGGCCTGGCGCAATAACGTAGTGGTTAAAATCCTTGCCTTGCATGTGCCGGGATCCCATATGGTCGCTGGTTCTAATCCTGGCAACTCTGCTTCCCATCCAGTTCCCTGCTTGTGGCCTGGGAAAGCAGTTGAGGACGGCCAAATCCTTGGGACCCTGCACCTGCGTGGGAGACCAGGAAGAGCTCCTGGTTCCTGGCTTTAGATTGGCTCAGCTCCAGCCGTTGCGGTCACTTGGGGAGTGAACCATCGGAGGGAAGATCTTCCTCTCTGTCTCTCCTCCTCTCTGTATATCTGCCTTTCCAATAATAAATAAATAAATAAATAAACCCTTAAAAAATTCATATGTCAAGGAATGAAATCCAGGCCTAATAAAACATGCTGCAAAGTTACATGTAAATCAAACACATCCAAACTTTTTTAGGATTTAAGTAAGCTAATTTACTGACAAAATGTTTAACGTTTATAAGTTAGATCATAAAATAAAGATAGAATTATAGATGGGTATAGAATCATATTATGTTAAGGACTATATTAGGATGAGATCCAACAAATCTTCCAGTTGTAAACCAAATACATTTTCATAAGCACTAACCAAACTAAAAATTCATGTTTTGCTCCTGTACTTAAATAGAATGCTTCTTCATGAAGACAATACAATTCAAATTCTTTCAGCTGAAAATTATTTCTAGCCAAACACAAGACAAACACTGAAACTCTGATGATTTAACTTATAGGTAAAGCTAACATATGCACATTTGATATTTGTAGACTTGGTAGGTTAATGTATTTAGTCTAGTCAGCTATTAAATAAACAAGTGTCAGCACCCAGTACTCTCGTACGTTTTGTAGTATTAAGTGTATTTGAATTCTTTTTAGAAAGAAAAACTATAAACACAAAAAACAAAAATTAGCTTACTCTGCAGATCTTTACTTTTTAAAAATCATTTAGATTATATAGGTATATACAGCTAAGTGGAAAATACCAGAGTTTCTCTCAAGCCCATGCAGCTTTAATTAGAGAAAAAGGATAAAAAAGTGATCATGTATATTTCTAGCATTAATCTCTTTTAACCTTAGTTAATGGCAAGATCTAATTACTGGTACCAGAGGGAATGTAGCAGAGTAACAGGTTATGAGAAACCAACTACTTTCTTTTCTTTACATGTCCTTTAATATTGCACAATAGTTGCTCATATGTTATGTGGAAGCAAGCTCTTTTACGAATCTAAAGCCATTTCCAATATGTAATTCATATATCCATTTCTTGAGTTACTACTTAAGAGAAAATTCCATTAACAGCAATTAGTCAAGGGAATGACAAACTTAACAAATTAGTGACAAACTGGCAAAAACAAATGATGATGGAGGTAGGTCCCAGGGTGCACTCATGAAGTGACAAAATTCAGACTGGTCCCTTAGCAAAATACGGTAGTTCTTTACTATCTGCTGGTTCTATTTTAAGACTCTGTGATTGTAGGAAAGGAGGATAGCAACAAACTCTACATAGTAATAAACCTTTTAAAGGCTTCTCTTTGGTACATCCAAATTACCACTGTTATTACTATTGTGCCTTGGGGCCATTACTATCTAAAATAAGAGTTGCTGGAACACAAGTACACAGTACCAAGACAGCTGATCTGATAAATGAACCAACTACAAAGAAGCAATGGGCACCCATACACAGAGTGGACAAGCTAGAAGAAAGGGATAATTCATGTTGTGGGATTGAGTCAGAGAACATAAGATCTTATTATATTACTAAGAACAGCACATAGTTTAAAATTTATGAATTGTTACTTTTGCCACTTTCCTTTCTAATTGTGAACCCTTGGATAGGTTAGCCACAAGTGAGTGAATGTGTACAAAGTGAAATGGGTAAAGGCAAGAATACTGTATGTCATGTATAGTTACAGACATTCAGGAATAAGCAATTTATGAATTTTAGATGTACAGATTCTAAGGTTCTGCTGTGTATATATAAATTTTCCTTTCAAATAAAAATAAATCAATCTTTTAAAACATTAAATTTTAAGAACTCCAAAAAATTAATAAAAAAAAAAAAGGATACATCCCTTTGCCTTCCAAAACAAAGTACAGCAGAAATGTAGTCCACTCCCCAAATGGCTGCAAAGGATGGAGCTGAGCCAGTCTTAAGTCAGGAGCCTGAATCTTCTTCCAGGTCTCTCCCATAAGAGAGGCCCAAACACATGGGCCAACTTCTGGGACTTTTCTAGAAAAATTGCCAGGGAGCTGCACTGAAGGTAGAGCAGCTGGATTCCAACTCTCACCCATATGGGATGGTGGCACTACAGGCAGAGGCTTAAGTTAGTATGCCACAGTGCCATCCAGAAAGAATGCATTTAGATTCATCTATGAGAAGACATTCTATGGAACACAGATAATTAGGCTATCTGCAAATTTATTTCAAAACAACGCCATATTAAATTACATTTGTTATGACTTAACAGATTACCTTTATAGATTCCACATACGAGTGAGATTGGATTATATTTGCCTTTCTGTGCTTGACTGACTCACTAAACATAATCATCTAGCCATAATTCCAGGTTCATTGTTGTTACCACAGATGTTAAACACATTTTTATTTTTTTTATTAACTAATTAATTTTGTAATAATCTTACTTAGTTACTTAGGGTACAAAAGGTCAAGGACTACAGGAAAGTGGGTAATACCATTGTTTTCACACTAATATCATCAGTTTTTCCCCTGAACCCCAGAGACAGGGTTAAACACGTTTTTGGTGGCTGAGTAGTACTTCATGCACTACTTTTCACTGTGCATCTACTACAGGGTGGACATTTAACTGCTTTCATTTCTCTGGAACTGTGGTGCTGTGATGAACACGTGGGTACAGATGCTTCATCATTTCTTTGGATACGTGCACAGTAGGATTCCAGGATCACATGGGAGTTCTACTATCAGTTTTGTGAGGAGATTCTATATTGGTTTTTCACAATAACATTGTGCAAGGGGGTTCCTTTTGCCACATCCTTGCCAGAGTGTATCTTCTGTCTTTTTGATAAAGTCCATCTAACCAGACTGAAGTGATTAGCCAGTGATTTTTGGATAATTTTTTCATGTTCCTATTGACCACTAGTATATCATTCTTTGATAAAAGTTTCTGCAGTTCCACTTCTTACTGAGTTCTTAGTTTTACTAAATGTATTATTTTTTTTTAGTTCTAGACTATTAACTGACCCATCTGAACTGAATTTAATTTTCTAGGAAATTCCCTTAGCTTTGTGTCTATTTTGCTGAAATTAACAGGTTAAAATTTCAGTTTCTGATAATCCCAATATTTGCATTAATTATGAATCACTGAAAGTTTTCATTTAATCTTGTTTTTTGGCATAGTTATTATCATACATGAAAACCTACAAAGGAAACACGTAATACAGTCTTCCAGAGATTGGATTTTCTGTGGCAAGTAGACAAAACAGTGATTGCCTTGGTCCAAGGATTGTTTTGGCTGTCAGTAACTAGTCTATCTCCAGTTGACCTTACCGGTAGAACATATCTTTAGAGATTTCAAATATAACTTACTGTTCATAGTGATCCCTGAATGTCTAAAACCTATAAGAATGTCTAAAACCTTACTTCTTTTGCCTCTTAGTAGCTAGTTTCAGTGTGGTTTCTTTGTCTCCTATTCTACAGTTTAGACTTGCTGAATATCTTGAGGGTAAAAACTACACAGAAAGATATTATTACTTTCATGGCTCCTAGCTCTAACTTCCATCTTCTTTATGGATTCTATATTATATACTCTGATTTGGCAAAATTTAAGCAACAACAACAAAAAGAGGCAAAGAAAATCTGATTCTCTACAGCATCTTCCCTCAATCTGGGATCTTAGACCCTCAGGGTCCTGGTAACCCGGTTGTTCTTCCTTGCCTTTATATAGCTGTTAGTTTTACACTAGCCAGCTTGCACTTGTTGATATTGTTGATAGGTGGTTTGATCTGACACAATTATACTCCAGAGCCAGAAATAGAAGTTTCCTTACTTGTACTACTTTACACACACATAAAAATTCACCAAAATAATATTATTCTCAGATGAAAGAAATTTAGTGATGTTTAAAAAGAAAAATAACCAAACAGAAAAAAAAAAGCTAAAATTAAGTGACATTTCTACAATCCAGAAACCTCAATATATTTTCAGTAATCTGAAATATGGAATGCTTACATAAATATCAAGTGAACTACCTGGGCTTTTTGAAGATCTTCCTTCAATAACATAAATTCAATATTGCATTCAGAGAAATTTATCATAGGATTGTTAAAATATATCTAATTACAAGGAACAAAAGGGCTATTTGAGGCATAGTGATTATATCAGTGTAACTGTTGAACTTGTTTCTGTTTAATCATACCTTGTTAATTTCCGTTTCCTTTTGGCAGCAGCAGTCATTGCCATGTAGGATGGCACCATGCTTGGTACAGGCAAAGAATGCTTAGTTGAGAAGGAGGGGTTGAGTCTGCATATTGAAAAAGAGTTAGTTTGATTTATACTATAGAGAAAAAAGGAAGAGTACAGATCTTTTTGAACAGATATGCTATAAAAGTTTGCGGCTTAACCAGGACTTTTTTTTCTTCACAGTTAGTTACTATAAGGAAGCTTCTACCTTTTGACCACACAGAAAAGTGAAAGTATTTTTCCTTCCATATTTACATTGGGTGTAATTACGTAAATGAAGTGAGAAAGATGTTTCTGCAGATGACATATAATCAAACCATACTTTAGACACATGACCAAGAAAGCTGAGGCTTGACACACATTAATAGAAATGAAATTTCTTCGGGTGAAGATATTAATAAGGACAGACACGGCAATCATTTGATGACAGGTTATCAAATTTTGGAAAAGAAATATACTTTAAGGACCTTACTGGCTTAATGAGGGTCAAGTGACAAATATCAAATTCACTTTGACATTTTAAAACAAGCTTGCAATCAAGAAAACCTATGAAATCTTTAAAATAGTCCTCAAATGGAGCTAAAGAGAAAGAAAATTAGTTTGAAGATTATATTAAAAAAAATTGGAAAATACCCGCATTCTCTACCTTTGTAAAGCATTTTTTCTGTTGTTTGGTCGAGATTCTTGTTCAGGTAATTTACTCCTCGAGTTCCTGGTGTCTTCATCTATGGTAAATGTAGAGTCCAAAATCTCCTCACATTCCCCTCCTCTATTAAGAGTGGTATCTACTTCAGATAGCACTTTTAGAGAATTACCACTGTTTCCATTTGAGCTCATGTCCTGAAAATCCATAGTATGTGAAGCTACTGGAGATGGATTTTGTAAAGGTTTTCTAGAGTCTTCTGGAGTATATACAATGGGCTGAAGTTCTTGGCTGAGAGAGTCATTGAGATGCATACTTTCAGACAGCGTAATCTTTTCAGTATGTTTCACTTCTGTGGGAGAAGATATTAGTCTTCTACGAGTTCTTTTTTGTGGCACAATTTTAAGCAGGCTAGAATCACTTGAAGATGTGCCTGTTCAATAAAATTAAAGAGATAATTAATAATATTGCTCAAATTTCCAATGGTTCCATTAGTTTAATGATCTTTTCTTTTAAAAAAAAAACTAATAATAAAGTACGTTTTTTGCCCAAAATACTGAATTTTTTTTAAAAGAAAGGTAAGCTAAGAAGTGTAAATGATGATAACAAATTCATTATATATAAGGATATTTTAAAAGAGAAAATAGTAAACTGTCAACATCAAATAGTAACACAGATGGCTATCTTGGTATATTAGATAATATATATAATATTTAGACTGTAGAAATTACAAAAGCAAATTTCTAATTCTAACAAAATTCAGAAGAAACTTCTAATTTCATTTTTTTTCTTTATTGATTACATTGTATTATGAGACATAGTTCTATAGGTACTGGGATTCCCCCCACCCCTCCCCTAACCCTCCCCCATGGTGGATTCCTCCACCTTGTTGTGTAACCACAGTTCAAGTTCAGTTGAGATTCCTTCATTGTAAGCATATACCAAGCATAGAGTCCAGCATCTTATTGTCCAGATAAGTTCAACGGCTTCTTGGGGAGACCTTCTCTGGTCTGAAGGTAGGGCCAAAAGAGTAAAATCCCGATCAATTAAAAGCCCCATCAGCAACAATATATAATGTTATGGAATTAATTGACATAGTGTTGAGTAAACAATATGTTAAAATTACATGTAAGTTCTTAACAACATCCTGTGACTATTTCAATGACATTTTCACAATTGAGGTGCAAAACAGTTTTAGGAGGGGTATGCAGAGAAATCTTTCATACCTTGGTGAGGAGTACTTGTTCTTTGTGTTCTACCTAGTAAGGTATGTGTGAGTCCATGCTGACCAATCTTTCCTTGTTGTTCTCTGCTTATCTATTCCAATGTGTGTGTGTGTGTGTGTGTGTGTGTGTTTGGGGGGGGAGTGCTCTGGAGTGACCCTGATGGTCATTGCAGAGGGTGGGGACCCAGAGTTGGAACTAAGTAAGGACCAGAGAAAGCTCCTCTCCCTTGTCCCGAAGGAAGTTTACTGTTCTGATTCTGAGGACCGCTCAGGGTTCCTGGCTGTTGTTCTGATGACCTTGGATCCTATGAGGAAGGATTTGGGCTTCTTCCATCCCGTGTAGTAGGTCCAAAAGCGGGGAGGGATGTCCTCTGAGTTCTCGGCCTCCAAAGGCATTCCAGTTCCCCATGGTCTCTTTGGCAGTTGTGATGTAGTCCTTGGTGCCGTACTGATAGTCCTTGGTGGGAATCTGGGAGTATCTAGGGTTGGGATATGAGCCTCTTCCTGACCGCTGCTCCACTCTGCCCCCACCCCCCATTCTGTGCATGTGACCTCCTGTTAATATAACATGGTAAAAATTTTATATCAGAACTGTTTGGACCAAGAATTCTTTCAGATTTTTACACATTTTTGGATTGTTGAATATAATGGTACACCACTATTTAAACATTTTTTCTGCATCACAATAAATTAACTTCACTTTTCTCCTTCTCTGTTCTGTTCCTGTTTCTTCCTACTATTTTCCACCCACCCCCCTTTTTTTTGGTATGGCAGGTTACAGGGAAAGAGCAAGGGAAGGAAAGGGAGACAGAGAGGAAACGAGGTCATTCATCTTCCTGCTAGTTCACTTCCCAAACGGATGCAACAGTCGAGGTGGGGACAGACTGAAGCCAGGAGCCCGGAACCGCATCCACATCAACCAAATGAGCAGTGGGAGCCCAGATAGTTAGGTCATTATCCATTGCTTTCCCAGTAGCATCAGCAAGGTGCAGGATCAGAAATGGGGAAGTCAGGTCTCAAATTGGAGTCAAAATGGGATGCTGACTTAAGCAATGCAAGCTTCCTAGTTTATTTCTGATGAAATACTTTTTGAAGTACCATTCCAAATAACAAGGTATATAGGGAATGTGACTCAAACATAGATGAAATTCATGTGACCCACCTATAACTTATATAAATTGACTGAAAAATAATTTTTACACAACATTCTAAATCATTTTGTGAATTAAAGTTTCATGGTATGGAATTTAAAAAATTTTTAATCAGGGGCATTTAAGGTTTTGAATCTTTTACATTAGAGATGCTCAACCTTTAACTGAATGGAAGTCTAGTAATATAAACGAACAAAATGAGTGATTAACAATAAAAACTTCAGGTTAATGAAATAATTTAGATATGTTACGATGTCATATATTAGCAGTAAAGTATTACATCTGATTGATTTGCTAATACATACGTATACACATATATGGTAGATTATTAGATTTAATAAAAAATGAATCTAATTTAAAGAGATCAGAGTACTTCAGCCATCATTACTGCAAAGCAAATGTCTCAGATGTCAAGAAATCAACCAAGCTGACAGTTCTTAACAGACTTATCTAACTTCGATTTAGAGATTACATCCTCAAAAAATAATAATAATAATTACTTCCTTGGGCCCAGGATGGTAGCCAAGTGGCTAAAGTCCTCCTTGCACATGCCAGGATCTCATATGGGCACTGGTTCTAATCCCGGTGGTCCCACTTCCCATCCAGCTCCCTGCTTGTGGCCTGGAAAGCAGTTGAGGACGGCCCAAAGCCATGGCCTCCTGCATCCACATGGCAGACCTGGAAGAGGCTCCAGGCACCTGGCTTCAGATCGGTGCAATTCCAGCCACTTCAGTCACTTTTGGGGAGTGAATTATCAGACAGAAGATCTTCCTCTCTCGACAGAAGATCTTCCTCTCTGTTTCTACTCCTCTCTGTATACCTGACTGCCCCCCCCCAAAAAAATAAATCTTTAAAAAAAAATCACATCCTCCATTTTATCACCTGTGTTAATCTTGTCCTCCACTTATTTTTTTTAAAGATTTTTATTATTATTATTATTATTATTATTTTTTATTGGAAAGGCAGATATATAGAGAGGAGAGACAGAGAGGAAGATCTTCCGTCCGATAATTAACTCCCCAAGCGAGCGCAACGGCTGACGCCATGCCAATCCGAAGCCAGGAGCCTCTTTCGGGTCTCCCACGCGGGTGCAGGGTCCCAAAGCTTTGGGCCGTCCTCGACTGCTTTCCCGGGCCACAGGCGGGGAGCTGGAAGGGAAGCGGGGCTGCCGGGATTAGAACCGGCGCCCATATGGGATCCTGGGCGTGCAAGGCGAGGACCTTAACCACTGTGCCACCGCGCCGGGCCCCCTCCACTTATTAAACAAATCTGCCTAACAGCAGTGCTTTGCTTTCTAATCAACTTTCACACAGAAACACTTTTAGTAATTTTGAGCACAAAATCAAAAGACATATTTGTAAAAATTAGAGTGTAAGCATGAATTGCTTAACTATTTAACATCTTTTTCAACATGCTTAAAATAATGAATTTAGTACATATGTAATGATGTATTTGATTAATTTTTGTGAGCTCTCTTGCATTTTTCTCCTACTCTGGTGAACTCCTTGGAGCCTGCAGTACGGCACAGAGGAAACTATGATGTGGATTTCTGCTTGCTTTTTTAAATCATACAGCAAAATTTCCAAGGGATGCTATATTTCCCTTTTTACACAGGAATAACTTAACACTGAAAACAGTTAAAGGCTGAATGTTCCATACTTCAACAAAGCAATCTAAACTTTCAAATAAGGTAAAAATACACTTATAGCAATCACTAGCAGTGTATGAATTATTCCTATTACGTTAGTTGACAACAGACTTTGCTATGGATAGGTTGACAATTACCCTCTAGGAAATACAATTTAAAAACAGGAAGAAAAAAATAGGATTCCTGTTCTACTAAGAAATTTTACTTTTCTGAGAAATAGATAAATGAGATCCAGATCTTAAAATAATTTTCCACTCTCTTTAACATGACATTTGTCAAATTTTCCATTACCAGATATTTTTATACTAATGCTACAGTGTAAAGACAGTTACTTTTCTCCACTGTGCTGCTACCACCAATTTGGTGGCTATTAATAGCTAGAAGATTAACTTCTTTTCCCATGAGAGGCAGCAGAGGTATAGAGGATAGAAAACTATCAAGGATAGAGAACTGAATTGAGAGTCAGGAGACTTGGATTCTATTTCTGATTCCATCAACGACTCATTGAGTGACCTTGGGTAACTCATTTAAGCAGTGTGGACATTAATGCCCACTAGAACAAGGAAGATACAACTCGTTGGTTGACAGGGAATTTAAGTAGGATTAGATGACAAAAACATTCAAGGTTCAAAGAAAGGCTCTACGACTACAAACATGCTGTGAGTGTTAACTTTACAACTTTCAAAGAGAAAGTTGTTTTTTACTTTCCAATAGTACAACACCCTCATAATTTACTCCAAAACAAAACACTCAAAAACAGTGTCTTATGTCTGGTTCATCAGATACTTAGTTTACCAAGGATGATGGTAAACTGCAAACATAAATAAAAGATACATTAAAATAGGCATGAAAATGTGTTATTATCCACAAGTGCTGATTTTATAACATCAATCTAAAATTTAGAATATAATAGAACTCGAAACCTCAAGAGTTAAGGACTTTGAAAGCACTATTTTTCTTACACACATTTAAAGGGCAAAAATATGTGGAGAGGCAATTAGGCAAACTCCCATGTAGTGGACCAATTTCCACCACTGTTAATAAAGAATATGAAAATGAAGTTTTCCACAAAAGACATGAGAGAAATAGTTCCCAGTTCTCACGGATACTCTAACACTTAGCCAATATCAAATCTGGTATGATCACACTAACAGATTTTCACTGAAAGAAATAACAATGTCACAAAGATACACTGTTAGTGGTAATTCTGCTTGTTTGGAAAAATGTGATAAACTGAAGAAGAAATATGGAAAGGTAACAGTAAGCATGGATTTACATACAGTTGATTCCCCAGGTCTGGAAGAACATATTACAGATGCACATATTAAATTCAGATTAAAAATATAAGAGGACAGAAAGTAGACAGTAATTGAACATTACTTAAGCTGACTTGTTGCTACAAAAG